CTTTCATAATGAGACTAGTAGTTACAAGGCTCAAGGATATTATTTTCCTTCATAGCTATATTGCGATACTTAGCTTTCATTCTTTCCTTTGTTTTCTCCACTTATTTGCTTTTGTTCAAACGAGAACATGAAGAGGAAATTCAGAAGAAATGCAAAATGAAATTTACTGGAACTTTGAGGTATTATCTTATAATTTGTGCTGTGGAGAGGGACATACTTTTGATTAGAAGGCTTGACTGTAGACAGGCTATAGTTTGTCTCCATTCAGTCCTTATAGTGGGAGATCTGTCATTTTATATAGTTAAGTAATCTAGTTTCATAGTTATATTACAATATAGGCAAATGTCCCTCAGAAATTTGTTCTTGTTTCACCTCCATTCATCTATAATACCATACTTAACTCAATTACTACGAGTACTGAGATATACCGAGACTGATGACATTTTCCTTCAGCTCTATGAACAGACCAGACTGCTGGTTTTTCCTATTATCAGTGATCTATATTGGCCCAGTTTAGTTTATATTTTAGTTTTTCAAATGAAATCCTTGAATACTATCCTTCTGTTTGGAAGTTGGCCCATTTTGTATAATTTTGTGTATGTTGTTTTAGATGAAGTCTTCCTGCTACTGGAACTCAAATTAGTAAGACACTCTCTGTTGCTATTGCTTGCTGTAAAATATCATCTGAACAAACAATGAACAGGGAGTACTATAGGCATATGAACATTAATAATTATGTGTTTGTATTTGATTCAAATTAATTCATGAAGAGTGCTTGAGAAAGTAAAAATAAAAGAGCCATCAGGAACCTCCCTATTCAGCACCGGGGTCATTGGTTCAACTGTTGCTTCATTGAGTATGTATTCAAGAAATAGTAGAAGTATGGGAATATTAATTATTCAATAAATATTGAATTGCATAATCCGGAATAAATATTTATTTTTATGTGATCTCGAGTCTTGACAAAATTTGGGAGACCATATGATCATTTTCAATACCATATAATCATTTTCAATAGGTACTCTTTCAATTATTTGCATTAGGAAAGGTATAGGATTTCTTTCTAGGACAAACTATTGAGTTCTTTTATAATATGTACAGATTGGAAAATACTAAACAGTACCCAATTACCCTAGAAAAATTTAATGTGAAATAGTACGTTTTGTGTTTTTCTTTTTCATCATAATTTTCCTATAAAATATAAGTCGAGTTCTTCATGTAGTGGTAAACGTTAAAAAGTTGTGTGGTCAACAATAGATTTGACTAACTAGTTACCATTATTCTCCTTGTTGAGAATGCCAACACTCAGGGTTGGTATTTATTGCTTGTTTGGTATAGATTTTAAGTTAATTAAAATTAATTTTTTGACCATTATTTCACTATTCCAACCGTCATTTTTAAATTCTTCTCTCACAGGTGGGATCCACTTTATCTCTAACGGTCAAAAAATCAATTATCAAAATCCCTATCAAACAAGATCTTACATAATATTTACGCTTGCTTCAATCTTGAATTCATTATTGCAACTTGATCCTTTGTTAAAATTTATTCAGCTACATTTTTTTTCACAGCATTTGGAAGGAGCAAAGCTTGATGGTGCTAATTTACTTGGAGCAATCAGGTGACAGTAAGGTTCAAGGTGGAGTCTTCCAGGTTATAATAACATATTTCCGTTCTATACTTCTCAAACTTCATAATAATTTAAAAAGTGATGTGAAGACTATAAATATACAGCAAAAATATCATAATTCTAGCTGTAATTTAAACCGTGGCTCCTGTTCAAGTGCTAGAACTAAGAATCCAAGATGGTCTGGTCCCATATCGATAATTCGAGCACCTTGCATCTTGTACTGATAAGTCAACTTGTATGTAAATATGTATTTGGGGATAATATCGGGTTCCAAAGTCACATTTGAAATTGCATTTCTTTGTCATGTAATGTGCTTGCTATACTATTTTTGAGTTTTTCACTGACCTTATCGATTTCTGGGTTGTTTAGGACTCTTATTTAACATAGAAATTATCTATCATTGATAGTGTGAAAGAATATATAAAATCTATGCCAACTCTTATTTAGCACTATTATACATGTTACTGTCCTTTGAAAAAATACGTATAATTAATTGTAAGAATGCAAAACTCATTTAATTGGACCTATCTTGGACTCGGTGATATTGCAGTTGCTCATAGAGTGATACTATTCATCATCTATTGATGAGTCAATGTGCTAGTGGGGCCATCGTCACATAAAAATTTATTTAGTCAATGTGCTAGTGGGGCCATCGTCACATAAAAATGCATTTTTAAAAGGTTGAACCCTAACCTTAAGGGTCCTCCACCGCCTCTGTCCTGGAGCATCGTGAGAGAGATAAATCACAGGTTATGTCTCCAAGGGTATAGGGTGGAAAGCTGCTTGTACACTTGCACTTATTCAAAAGTCAAATCCATATTTTAGGATTCAAACCCTTGACGCGACAGCCTCAAGCAAAGTTGGATTTTTNAATAATATGATGTCTCAAACTTTGTGTTATGTCCTTTTAATCACTTTTTGCAATTAAATTAATCGTTATTAATTTTTATTTTTATTCATACAAATTGAAAATGGTGGATTGGATATTAATTGGTCAACATATTGGGCAAGATCGTGCCTCAAAAATAGAACAGATTCACAAAAAAAGTTCCACGAAATCAGGATTGCGAATTTGGTAGGAGTAAGGTCATGTTTGACAGAACTTTTAAAAAATAAAAAATTATTTCTAGATATGTTTGGATAATTTCATATCATGGATCATCCAGCATGCTTTATAATTTATTAGGCGGAGATGTCAATTGGGCTTATCGGCTTGAGCCACCCGTGGCTCGACAAGCCGGGGCTCGGGGAGCGTCAAACCAAGCCCTAGCCAACCCATGTGGCTCACCGGCTCGGGCTCACGGGCCTTTAAAAAAGACAGTTAAAGGCAGCACCACGCTACCTTTTTTTAGACAACATCGACACGAAGAAAAAAATAAAAAAAAAAGGTCCATCATGGCTGAGCAAAGGCCCGCGCCTAGATTTCTTGGCAGACAAAAGCTCGGCTCAGCTCAGGCTTGCAAAAAAGCTCAGACCATTTTGCTTAAGTCGAGCTTGAATCTTGAATTTCAGCTCGCGTGTCGACTCATGTTGACACCACTATTATTAGATGAAAGATTTACTTTACTATTGCCATGGTATCTAAAATATTGATATTTATTTGATCATGACACAAAACTAATGAAATATACATATTCTAGTTTTTAACATTAACCCCTTATAATTTTCTGTTTAAAAATGTGTAGATTCGACATAATTTATGCCTAGTATATACATTCCATTTGGAATAACAAGATATTATCAATAATAAAATAAAGAGAGAAAATGTTGGGTTTCTTCAAGAGATTGAAGAAAAAATCGGTAGAAATTTTCAAAAACCCTCCATATCACGAGTGACAAGGAAGGCGATGAGAGCACTATGGGGATGAGCACAAGCCGGAAGAATTCGACGAGCTTGATGATCAGGTTGAGTAGCTAAAAGAGATCATGAGCGAAGTCGAGAACAGGATATGCAGCGGTGGTCGTGGTAAAAAAGAACACCATGTCGAGGGCCATTAACACGAAGAGGGGGAGGAATACGAAAGCAAGGTGATGGTGGTGAATTCGAGTTTGATTTTTGGTTTATAATAGCTTCTCACTCCGCTTATACTTTAGATAAAAGGTTGATATAAGAATAAGCACCTTCTAATTGTAAGTATTATACCCTAGGTCCAATCAATTTTGGACATAAATACTTTTATATATAATTAATGCAATTAAATGGTAGATCTATTATTTAATTAATAGACAATTTAATAAATAATAGAGTCCGTAGATTCAAATCTTTGTAATTTGTTAATCACAAGGAGTTGTGATTGTGAGATACAAATTACATCTGATTGAATCTTAAATCATCCGTGGTCGTAAGTAATAACGAGATACGGATATCGTTATTACGGATAGATCATCACGTGTGGCATCCTTACTTGTGAAGTAAGTAACTGATCTCACAAGCTAAAGTGTGGTGACACTTAAGTGAACACGTGAATGTTTTGTTATAGAACAAAACATTGGAGACCCGTCGAGAGATTCCACATGGATAACTATCTGAGTGTCAGTGGTTAATCTCTAACGTTCGGCAGTGAAATTGGTCCTTTGACTTGAGGTCATCATGGTACCTTATATGAGGACAGTCATACTTTGGCGGTGTTGGATGTTGCTCTGAAAAGGGCCGCTAATACGACATCGTTCGGGTACGTCAAGAATCGTATGATGGTTGTGATTGATCAATAAAGGATTTGTCACTCTTAGATAGTAGGAGATTATGATCTGCGTTTCATTCGATTAAGTCGATGATGAAATCCTTGACCAAGGTGTACTCATAAGTCGAAAAGGAGTTTTCGACTTATATTGAATTAATAGTGGAGTGAAAGATATGATCGATGATCGAGATTGACACAATTCCATATCTCGTAATTGATCGGATCATATTGACGAAGGGATTATAGTTTCACGGTAAACGAACGAATTTGGTTTTGTCATACCACGTGACATTTTCCGTCACATGTATTGCCTTGACACATTGCTAGATGTCAATCAGGGACGGCGAGTGTGAATTGACGATAAATTAAAAGGGTATTTTAATTTATCAATTTTGATTAGATCAAAATAATATTTTACGTCGTTAGGCATCGTGGTCGGGAACCTAATGGGTCGCACACAAAAGAGAATTGGAAGATTGCAAATTGCCAATTGGTTAATTTAACAATCGTTGGATAAATTAATTAATTGGATTTGTTATTTATATTCCCGAATTAATTAATTGGATTAATTAATTCACGGGCC